TCATCAGATGCTCTCTAGTCAGTCCCCCCCATAACACTACATCACTGTCACTCTTCAATATTATTAGCTACCTAGTATTGAGGTTTTACAATTATAACCCCCCTTATAGATATTATAACAGTTCTTTATAGTGTGGAAATATCAACATTACTTTTTTCATAACCACTCAGCTATCTCACCTTTGCCTGAAATCCACTGCTTTTTGGCTTCATACACCCCAACCACAAGGACCTGGGTTCAATTCCCATTCAAGACATCCACCTTAACTCCACCTTAACTCCACCTAAACTCCACCTAAACTCCACCTTAACTCCACCTTAACTCCACCTTAACTCCACCTTAACTCCACCTTAACTCCACCTTAACTCCACCTTAACTCCACCTTAACTCCACCAACTCCACCTTAACTCCACCTTAACTCTGTTGAAGGTGTAATCCCTGTAGAAGGGAATACAAGCAGCAATGGTATCAGCGGTGATGTGCCTGCTGCCACACCTGCTGAGCATGGTGTATCAGAAAGCAATAAAAGAAGTAATGCACCAGAGGACTGGAGCATTCCCTTTAAAAAGAAAAAGTAATTCTTTACTTTCATCCTTTGAAAGCAAAAATATTACTTTCCCCAGAAGAAAGTACACCAGTACTTTTCTCCTGGATAAAATGTCTTATGGAGCTTTCTCCACAAGAAAGCAGGCTGCCGAGACCAATGTCTTAGCATCAATATTCTTGTATAAATATCAGTTCCCTTTTCCCCCATTTTATATCTCTCATCCTTTCACTCCATTATCTTATCTCATCTTACCCACTTATCCACTCACCTACACACACAGACATACACATCCATACCCCCATCATCAACTCACAACCACTACCACCAACATCATTGTCCCCTTTCTACTTTATTAAGTTTACAAATACTTCAGAAATAAATATTCCGCACCCAAAACCTTACCCCAACTACAACAAACTCCTTCTAAACTCCACCTGTGCCTGGTCCTCCGTTCGATTCCTGGTTGAAGCATAGTGCTTCCAGAGCCAGCACCTCATGTCAAACACTCTGTTAGCAAATAGCCACAACCTCAAGGACGTCGTGCACCCTCCGATCAACGCAACAGCATAAACCCGCTCGCCCGTCCCGG